ATAATAAGTTTAACACGTAGGCTTTCGCGCCCAATATTATTCATAAAAGATTTTTTGGGTTAGTATGCGTTATTTTTATGTGTCGTAACCCTCCACCACCCAACACGGCCAAACAGTAAAATAAAATGTGTCACGTTTACAAAGACAAATAGTTCACTATTTTAGCCCACCGGTGTGTTGAAGAGTGAATCAACATCATTTAAAAAAAAATTGGTACGACAGAACCATTCTGGCAAATTGCCCGATGATACTGGATGTAATTACCAGCGAAACGTCACTCAAAATTGTAAATGATGTTGATTCACTTTTCAACACACAGGTGGGCTAAAGCAGTGAACTATTTGTCTCTGTAAACGTGACGCATTTTTTTACTGTTTGGCCGTGTCAGTGTTTCAGACAACAGACCTTATTCAGAGCATGCGAAGGAGATGGTAGGCACAAAAATATGTATAGTGTCACCTGGCATATCTGTGCATGCAAACAGCCCCTTTGTCAAGCTCCCGCTGGGCGAGGGTTTCCACACACAGGTCAGAGTTATTTTTACTCTTAGGTTTTTTCGGTAAAGTCACGTAGGTAAAAATTAATAAAATAAAATAAATGAAAATAACTCAATTAAATCACGACGTTTCGGAGGCAACACAAGTCTCCGTCTTCAGGTGGGACCGTCACAGCCAAATTTACTGTATCAAGTGAAGAGTTATTTTTGACCATACTTCACCACACTGGTGACTGTAGGGAGCATAGACGTTGGAGTATAGTTGGGAGCGTGCGTTTCTCAACGAGGGTGAATTTGTAAGACAACACTTGGTATTATAACTTTCCATCGACATTGTCAACGTGGTCGCTGCACATTTTAAGCGGGGGGGGGGGGGGGACTCTGTATGCGTGCGCACACGTAAGGCTCGCACGAACATAACGAGTTTGAACTGAATCCTATATACAGGTAGTCCCCGACTTACGATATTTCGATCTTACGATTGCGATAGCGATATGACAAAATTGTAAAATATTTTACATTTCGCGCGGCAGGCAAACGCAGTAGCGTACGATGTACGATACTGTACGTTGGGACGCTGCCGGGATGTTCTGTACGCATCTCCCGCCTTGTGTGGTGATGCCTCCTACTCTCACCAGCAGTCGACGGAGTTAAGTGGTCACGGTGTTAGCGCGTGTATTTTTGTTCTGTGTTTCAGAATCTATGTGAGTACAGTACAATATGATACGTTACGATACGTCCAATGCATGTATGATACGTAGCTTTAGCGATTTCATTTTAGGGTTACCACGATACGATACGTTCAATGCATGTTAAAAGTTTTTATAGCAGATAGGATTGTTTCCTGCAAATACTTTCTATGAAATTGCAGTTCATATAGGTAGGCTAAGAATTTACCTTGTTTTTTTCACTTTACATTTTACTGTGCAATGCAGTATTGTAATTAATAAATACATACAGTATATAGTTTATACAGTACGGGACTGTAAATTGCTCTGTTTTGCTAAATGATCACCATTCTTTAAGACTCCTGGGTAGGCTAGGCCATCTTCGACTTACGATATTTTCGACTTACGATGGGGTCGTCGTAACGCATCTCCATCGCAAGTCGGGGACTACCTGTATTCGATTAAAGCATCGCTTTGCTGACAGTCACGTGACATACTGCAGCATCGAGGCGGTGCTCAACTCGTGTCAAAAGCCGCTGATGCAGTGGTGGAAATTCCACATTCCTATGGCGGGGGGGGGGGGTGTCCATAGGACAACCACTGTTGGCGTTACTCATTTTATCAGCCCTGGAGAGTTGATGGGCCGAGTCGACCAGAGTTTTAACTCGCAACCTCATTGCGAGCAGCGCCCTCTCTCCCTCTCTCCCGCTGAGCCACATCGCTCAAGACATTCCCAGCGAAGCGTCACACTTTGGGTTAACCATCTCGTCGTAGCCCCGGCTCCCTTTTTAAACTGCGCAGTTTGCGCGGGGACACTGCCAATGACCATAAACATTACACAATCTCAGCCTTCTGTTGTCAATCCACTGCTGGATTCGACTACGATTGACGCTGGGCAGGACGGGTTACTGAATGCTCGCGGGGGGGGGGGGGGTGAATAGACGTTGTAGCATCGTACAGTACAACGGATTTGACTGCGTTGCCCCACAACAATTTAGACGAGTCGCCCATCCAAGCACTGTCCACACTCAACCCTGCTTAGCGTCCCAGATCGCTCGAGATCGGACGCAATTCGGAGTGATTTGTCCACAGGCAAAGCGAGGCAAATAAAAAAAACTTACACAGTTGGTGGATCACGACAAGACGGGAGACACCGTTGGATGCATTACCCCCCCTCTCTCCCCCCCACTACGTGCGTAGTAGGGGCATTCTGTGGCGTTTATTGAAGGAAGCACAGCAAGTAGATTTTTTAAAGACGGCAACACGAGCATATTACGGTTGGTCAAACATCATAGGGGGCCATCCATTTAGTACGTACGCATGGAGGGGGATTAACCCAAATGCGTACGCGTGCGTATGGGATAGGGGGGGGTCTACTGACAATGTACGCATAGGAAACGGGGGAGGGGGGGCGAGGCAGTGAAGCCTCAATAATAATTTGTCTACATTGGCCTTCAAATTAGTTAGATTGTCCGGCGATGGACTGTTTGCTTAATATTATTAATCCTTGATCGTTTCTGCGTGGATTCAATATCGGCCGTTCTATAGGATTGGGGGGGGGGGGGCGTCAATCATACGTACGCAGGTGGGGGGGGGGGGGTATAAAAAGTCCTCGTGCGTACAGGGAGGGGGGGGTAAGGCTCAAGTTGACAGATTTTTTGCGTACCTACTAAATGGATGGCCCCGTAACGCAATCCTCCTCCTGCAATGGACACGCCCGACGCAGCAAACCGATTGCACGTTTATGGCATTCTCGCTTCGGCTGTCACTTCACTCTTGATGAGAGGGGTCGTGGACGCGTACCACAGGTTGAGAGAGCCCCCCCCCCCCCTTCCTCTCCAGAAGGGCCTACTCTTCCACGTTGGCCACACGTCTTCGAAGAGGTGCCAGTACCCACACTTTAACCCCCATCACACGCACCACCTGCCGACGATCTGCAGAGCGGTGTGTGTCCATTTGCATAGCCGGGTGGACAGATCCACGGCGGGATGTGGGATGGGGAATTCACGAAATTGCACCATTTGCTTTAACTTCCGTAATGGGGAACCAGAATTGACGACTTCTTGATTTCAAGGCCAGTGCTGCATGAGCGGTTTGACAACATTGTTACATTCCACTGTTACTCTAGATTCAGTACAGCACGTAGGTTTTCGCGACCAATGTCATCCACAAATCGAGTTTGTTTTGGGGGTTCTATCGCGTAAATGTGTCGTTGAACCCACCACCACCCGACACATTTAACTAGTACGGCTTGTCACGTAAACAAAACGTGCTAATTAGTTACTGCTTCAGCACACCGGTGTGTTGGAAAGTAAACCCACAACATTTTTGCGTGTGATTTTTTAACCACAAATCTCACTTTCTCCCGAAGGCGACGAGACCAGAATTATAGAGGCATGACACACAACACACACATCTCGTACCGGACTGCAAGGCGCACCAGCCCAACTTATAACTTATTACAGAACTCAGACCGTATTGGTCACTCCGTTCCCTTATCAATCTCAACGTTCATCCTATATTTGAAGCTTTCGTGACTGCAAGATTCATATTCTTAGGTTTTTTTCGGTAAAGTCACGTGAATTTACCGAAAAAACCTAAGAATATGTTCATCCTATACACAACACTATACACCCCTATACACTACACATTGCACTATACTATACACCACACTATACATTACTATACACTGCTATACACTACACTATACACCACACTATACATTACTATACACTGCTATACACTACACTATACACCACACTATACATTACTATACACTGCTATACACCACACTATACATTACTATACACCACACTATACATTACTATACACTGCTATACACTACACTATACACCACACTATACATTACTATACACTGCTATACACTACACTATACACTACACTATACATTACTATACACCACACTATACATTACTATACACTGCTATACACTACACTATACACCACACTATACATTACTATACACTGCTATACACTACACTATACACTACACTATACATTACTATACACCACACTATACATTACTATACACTGCTATACACTACACTATACACCACACTATACATTACTATACACTGCTATACATTACACTACTACATACCTGTCAACCCCCCTTATCAGTGCCCTACCTAATAACATACCAATTCAGACATCATTGGTCACCCCGTGCCCTTATCAATCTCAACGTTCATCCTATAGAGTCCCATCACAAGGCAGTAAACACAAATAAGACACATTTTTTTGCCCGTATTGAAACGGCTGTACGCCGTATAGACCTGACAACTTAATTTCCCTGTGAGTTGAGAACTATGGGTTTTAAAACGCTGGGGGAATAGTTCCTTTTACAATCCAGGGTAGAATACGGGAAGTGGTAATGCAGTACACGTACGTGACGTGGTTTACGTGCATTTTGCACACAACGCATACAAAGTGGTTATACACAATACCGTTGTATACTCAAACTGAAATAACCCCAATAATGTTGTTGATAAGTAGACTTGTGTTAAACATTACCGTATAACTTACTAATACGACTCGTGCGCTATAACCCGCATATCCGTACGGTATAATCCCATCAGCGACAGCACACAACTACCGCAACTTAACACAAATCACACCCCCCCGCCCGCATTTCGACTCGCAAAGGTTTGACACCGACGTGCAACAAATAAATGTTTACATTTATCGCGATAAGAACGTTTGCCTAAACGTCGGCAACGAAGGGGTGTCAAGACCACAACACCACCAGGGGCCTACTCTAGGCCTCGCCTAGGGCACGCAAAGCCAACGGAGTTTAGCGCCGCACTCAAACTCGCCTTTCGCACTTCTCTTCCGTCAGCGTCGACCGCCTCAACTTTTTATCTCGACTCCCAAGTGCTCCTCCTCGTCGTTTAATTTTGTTGTGGACGCTCAAAGTCACCGATAAAATCCCTCGGCTCGTCAAATCTCCTCACAACCGACGCCACCAACTCTGCGCCTCGGCCACCAACACCGAGAAGCGGCCGCCTCGCGCGTTACAAAATCCTCGCGCGGATAGACACGCCCCCCCCCTCGCCTCGACCAATCGCGTCGCGTTGCGTGCACCCCCCCCGCCCCGCACCCCCCCGCCCCGCGCACGCCTCGACCAATCGCGTCGCGTTGCGCGCGCTACCCCCCCCGCCCCCCGCCCCCGAATGGGCAAGGAGCCCGCGCGCTGACGGCGGAGGCTGCGTGACGCTGAAGTGACGGTGACGTCATTGTGGGGGCGGCGTGGGGGGTGGGGGGGGAGCGGTGGGGGAGCGGTTAGCGCCGTGAAGGGCACCGGACCTGGCCACCTGGCCACCTGGCCACCCGAGTTCGATACCTACGTGACTTTACCGAAAAAACCTAAGAATAAAATTCGATTCCAAGCTCAGGGCTAACAACACCGGCGACGATTATCCGAACCGGTCCTGAGCCTCCCCTAGGTCGACTCGGTCTCAAATGAGTACCTGGTTGCGGTGTGTTAAAGTCGTCACTGGGGAGACAAAGGCGGCCGGGCGTGGTGCTGGTCAACCCACCTCCTCGCGTGCCGTGCCGGCCTTCACAGGTGCTCGCGAACAGCACTTGCCCCTACAGTCTGTTAAGGCTACACGGGGGATCTTTGTCTTTGTGTGGGGGAGTGGGGAGCGGTAGTGTAGCGGTTAGCGCGCTGCGTAACGAACCTGGCGGCCCGAGTTTGATTCCCGCTCACGGCTAACACCGGCGACTATTATCTGGGCCTCCCCTAGGTCGACTCGGCCTCAAATGAGTACCCGGTGCGGGAGGGGAGGGGTGACCGGCTCCGGTCTGAACAGCAGAGGTCTCACTCCGAATGAGTCGGGCGGCTTTATCTTTTTAAATCCTTTATATTAAGTTCACTTGCTTGCTTGCTTGCGCGCTTACGACCGTGCAATTCTTTCGGTCGTTTTTTTAACCCACTTCCCGTGATCCAATCGAGCTGACATTTTGCACACAGACTCGTTGTGCGTGACAATTTATTTTCGTGAAAAAAAAATATCCAACATTTTTTACTTTTTAGGAATTTTTTTTTCATATTTAATTTAAAATACCAATGTGATAAAAATGAAACTCTTACTCAAGAAAAACAGAAATGAATAATAAAATGAAACCGATGCCACGCATATAAAAGATTTATAGTGAAAAACTTTGTTTTTTACGGGTTAATTTTTTACCGGCTGCGCTAATTTTTGAGCGAAAATTTTTTTTTTGATGCCACCGATGTCGGCTAGCTGATGCCACGACATTTGGTACACGAGCACGCGGAGCAAAACAAACCCCACACGTCCCGTGGCCTTCACAGTCAAACAAAGAAGAGGATGTAATAACAGGCGACGTTTCGGGCAATGCTTCTTCTTCAAAGTACATGCGTAGAGTTGCCAGGGAGGTGAAGTGGACAAGAGTTGCGTTTGAACTAGAGACATTAGCCGGGACGTTGCCGAATTGTATTTCAACATTTATTTTAAGGCCACGCTTTAGCTACTCTTGACGCTTGTGTTGAGTTCTCAGTAGGGGGTCGTCCATAAATGACGTCACGTGATTTTGGACGATGTTTGACCCCCCCCCCCCCTTCGTCACACGGCGTGACAAAAAGTCAGACCCCCCCCCTCAAATATGACGTCACAAAGCTCTGCCCCCCCCAAATAAAACATGCTTCAAATCGCTTTAAACTATTGTCATTGTAGTGCGTATTTAATGTGGCGCTGCAATCTGATGTTGTAGGAGAACACATTTATTAAAAAGTATATTTAATTAAGTAGAACGTGTTGTCTATATTTATTTAAAGTTGCGCATTTTGATGTGACGTCACATTTCTCAAAGCCCCATCCAAACACAACGCAGGGTCAACTCCACTTAGCTTCTGAGCCCCAATGAGGTCGGCCGAATTCCAGGTGATCACCAAAATGCCCTGTAAACACGCAACGTCGAACCAACGTTGGCCTGACGTTCCATGTTTACCGGGATGCTTTCTTCAGATACGTCTCAAGGCTGCTTGGTGGTGTTCGGTAAATCCCATCACTTGCTTGGACGTCATCATTTGTGGGAGGAAGCCAACGCGTCTGGAGAATACCCAGGAGGCAATCGAGGGAACAACACTCAAATTATCCTGTGCGGATCACCATCACAGCATGAGCCCCACGGGCAATCCTTGGCCGGATGAAGGCCTCCCCACTTCGTCGACATCCTTCAGGGCCCTGCGATGTCACAATCCACCTCGCGCCTGCGCACGAGTTGATTTCAGCGCTCCGTCTCCAGCGTGGTCGTAACCTCTCAGACGCGTTCCCTCTTTCGGCTGCCACTGATGATGATGCTGATGCAATTTTAACTTTTTTTTTTATTAAAGGGGCGCCACGGTGGCTAGGAGATGTTAACGACCTCGCCTGGTGTACAGGAGGTCGTGGGTTCGATCCCGACCCTGACGCCTGCTGCTGTATATTTGGAGTTTGCGGTGTCTCTCTCCCCGTGGTCGCGTGGATTTGCCACTATTCTGGCAAATCGCCCGATGATACTGGATGATATAATTATCAGCGAAACGTCGTACTACACAAATTGTAAATGGTGTGAATTTACTCTCCAACACACCGGTGGGCTGAAGCAGTAACTAATTGGTAGTTTTGTTCACGTGACAAATCCCTTACTGATAGGCTGTGTCGGGTGGTGGAGGGTCACGACACAACATTTATACTTCCGCGATCTAACCCAAAAACCTTTATTGTGCATAACATTGGTCGCGAAAGCCTGTCACGTGGTAAACGCGGTATAAATGTAGCCGAGTACCTCCACGTGCTTTCATTTCACGTGGCTCTATATAGTTGCCGATATATCATGCCGTTTGTTTACCCAGAATAGCCTCGCAGAGTCTTAAGACCTTGTGTTTTTTTTTGCAGGAGGGTCCCGCCAGTGGTTTAGTGTGGCTTGGCATGGGCTCTGATGCAAGCAGTAAATACATTTAATGCCTCCCCAGCCCCCCTTCATAGCCCCCCCCACCCCCCACAGCCCCCCTTCATAGCCCCCCCCACCCCCCACAGCCCCCCTTCATAGCCCCCCCCACCCCCCACAGCCCCCCTTCATAGCCCCCCCACCCTCCACAGCCCCCCTCCACAGCCCCCCCCACCCCCCACAGCCCCCCTCTACAGCCCCCCCACAGCCCCCCTTCATAGCCCGGCGCCTGGACCCCGGTTCAGCTTCACCGTCTGCACACTCGGCAGTAGCGCCATGACAGGATACAGAAAAATGAATTCGCGACAGAATGAATAATAAATTATGTTAACATTTTATGCCCATATATGGGGTCATTTCGCGTGGCTTTGCCCACACAAAGATTGGAACGGGAATAGACTTTTTTTTTTAACGAGACGTAACTCTGTTCAAGAGCGCGTCTTGGCGGTCACAAACTCACCGCCTCATTCCGTGGCCGAGCTGCCGTGGAAGGTTTCGTGTGGACGTGGGTCAAACGTTGGCGCCCGATGTTACAGCGGTGAAAGAGCTGAGCGCAAATTGGCTCCATGCAAAACTCTTTTTGTTGGGCGAGTCCATGACAATGTCTGCTGTCAAACCGCCCACGTCTCAACTTTCAGAACAATGGGATTGAATTTGGTTCACGTTGTGCCGCTGAAACAATGGGGCAAAGTTCCTACTTAGAACTTTCGTGACTGCAGGAATTCGTATTATTTGGTTCTTTCGGTAAAGTCACGTATATAAAAATAATAATAAACTTTATTATTATTATTATTCTATCTACGTGACGTTGATAGAAAAAATATAGGAAAAAGTGTATTTAAATTCCATCCCCCACCCACCAAAAGACCCCCCCCCGTGTAGCCGTAACAGATTGTTGGAGCAAGTGCTGTTGGCGGGTAGCCCCTATGGTGGCCGGCACGACACGGCACACGAGGGGTGGGTGGCCAGCACCACGCCCGGCCGCCTTTGTCTTATATCAGGCTGAGTCGACCCAGGGGAGGCACAGGACAGGTTCAGTTATAATCGCCACTGGTGTTGGCCGTGAGCGGGAAGTGAACTCAGGTCGCCGGGTTCGTAGCGTAGCGCGCTAACCACCACGCTACCGCTCCCCCCCCACAACAACAACCGCCATTCGCCACTAAGTGGCGGTGACGTCACCACGACGCTTGTGCCAGGCCATGTGCACCTTGAGGCTACCACGTGAAGTGTCGAACGCCCGCTGGCAGGAGGTCACGGGGCAGACCCAGCAGGTGCCACGGGTCGACTGACTGAGATGACCGAGATGACTGGCTGATGCACCACCTGTGCCCCCTACTGTGCCAACTTGCTGTGCTTTAGCCACCCGGTGCTCCGCTCGTTGTTGTGAGCGTTGCTCATCCGCCCTCCCACACACACAGACACACACACACCCTCTCCCACATACCACACATCCTCTCCCACACACCACACATCCTCCACCTCTGGGTATACCACGGTCGATCGGGCAGGTCGCGTTTGGTGGCGGGGTCAATCGCGGGCGCTACCACCTCTTCTCAGACATCTGGCCATGCGCGGAAGAGTAGGCAAAGTACTCTGGGTCGCTCTTGCAAATGAGACTCATCCTGCAGGGTAAACAAGTAAACGTGACTTGACCCTCTAGAGCTCCCTGCATTGGAGGCCGCTTCTGTCAGCGGTAGCGTGAGCGAGAAATTGCGGGGCTGCGCCTGGAACGTTGATTTGTTTAATATTGAATTTTGTAAAAAAAAATTAAGTGAGCTTTCTGAGAGCGAGGTGGAAGCCAGTGTCCGTGTGTGCTCACAAAGACGCCGCATCTCATCGGGCGGACTCAATGCTCGTTGTTTCGATTGGTGCCCTTTAAAATGCGCTTCCTTCTGACTCCACGTGACACCCGAATGTCAACCGTCAACTCAACTGAGTCGGGAGGCCGCCTTTAAATAAGTTCCCGTCGTTGTGTTAAAAACAAGGTGTCACATTTTCCACTTCAGTCGTGCACTCTGAAGGCTACGGTCTCACGCGTGAATT